AGATAAATGAAAAAAAAAAATGAAATGATTCCAGCTAGAACAAGCAACAGAAAGAACTGGGAAATGGAAATATGAAGAACTATTACACAGACTCTATCAAAAGACCAAACCTAAGAATCATGGGTATTGAAGGAGGAGAAGAGGTGCAAACAAAAGGAATGTGTAATAACAGAAAATTTCCCAAATCTAGAGAAAACTATGCCCATATAGGGACAGGAAGCCTCCAGGACACCAAACAGACTTGACCAAAATGGAACTACCCCACAACATATTATCATTAAAACAACAAGTACAGAGAATAGAAAAAGAATATTGAAAGCTGTAAGAGAGAAAAAACAAATAACATACAAGTGAAATCCATCAAAATCACAACAGATTTCTCAACAGAAAACTTAAAAGCAAGAAGAGCATGGAGTGAGGTCTTCCAGGCACTGAATGAAAATAACTTCAATCCTAGGATACTCTAATGAGCAAAACTATCATTCAAAATAGATGGAATAATAAAAGTCTTCCATAATAAGCAGAAAATAAAACAATAAGCAGAAAATAAAACAAGCCACCACTACAAAAGATTCTCCAAGGAATTCTGCACTCAGATAATGAAAGCAAACAAAACCGTAAAAGGGCAGGCAATACCAAACCACAGGAGAAGAAAAGGCAAAAAAGTAAAGAGTAACACTGATTTAGCTGCACACAATCAAACCCTTAAACAACAAAAATAACCAAATGACAGGAATCACCACGTACTTATCAATACTAACACTGAATGTTAACAGACTGAATTCCCCCATCATAACACACCATTTGGCAAACTGGATTAAAAAGGAAGACCCAACAATCTGTTGCTTAAAGGAGACCCAACTCATTGACAGAAACAAGCACTGGCTCAGGGTGAAAGGCTGGAAGAATATTTACCAAGCCAATGGACCCTAAAACAGGTAGGAGTAGCAATACTTACCTCAGACAAAATAGACTTCAAGTCTACAATGATCAAATGAGATAAAGAAGGACATTCCATACTAACAAAAAGGGAAATACACCAAAAGGAAATAACAATTATCAATCTATATGTCCCCAATGTCAATGCACCCAATTTCATCAAATATACTTTGAAGGACCTAAAAACACATGTAAACTCCAACACAGTGGTAGTAGAAGACTTTAATAACTCCCTGTCAACAATAGATAGGTCATCCAAACAAAAAATCAATAAAGAAACCCTAGATCTAAGTCACACTATAGATTAAATGGACCTACCCAATGTCTACAGAATATTTCATCAAACTTCTGCACAATATACATTCTTCTCAGCAGGCCATGGAACCTTCTCCAAAATTGATCATACCTTAGGGCACAAAGCAAGCCTCAGCAAATATAAGAAAATAGAAATAATCTCAAGCATTCTATCTGATCATGATGTATTAAAACTAGAACTTAACAAAACAACAGTAAAGAACATGCAAACAGTTGGATGCTGAAGAACACATTGCTCAATGATCAATGGGTCATTGATGAAATGAAAGAAGAAATTAAAAGGATCCTGGAAGTTAATGAAAATGAAAACACAACCTACCAGAACCTGTGGGACACAGCAAAGGCAGTCCTAAGAGGAAAGTTTATAGCCATAAGTGCATATATTAAAAGGACAGAAAGATCTCAAATCAATGACCTAATGCTACATTTCAAACTCCTAGAAAAACAAGAACAAGCAAATCCAAAAACAAACAGAAGGAAAGATATAACAAATATAAGTGCCAAAATCAATGAAATAGAAACAAACAAAAAAAATATGAAGAATCAATGAAACAAAATTTGGTTCTTTGAAAAAATAAATAAGATTGACAGACCCCTGGAAAACCTGACTAAAATGAGGAGTGAAACAACCCAAATCAGTAAAATCAGAATGCAAAAGGGGAGATAACAACAAACACCACAGAAATCCAGGAAATCATCAGAGACTACTTTGAGAACCTATATTCTAATCTTGAAGAAATTGACAGATTTTTAGATACTTATGACCATCTAAACTTGAACCAAGAAGACATTAATCACTTGAATAGATCTATAACAGAAAATGAAATTGAAGTAGCAATAAAGAGTCTCCCAAAAAGATAATTCCTGGGCCTGATAGATTCTCTGCTGAATTCTATCAGACCTTTAAAGAAGAACTAATACCAACCCTCCTTAAACTGTTCCACAAAATTGAAAGGGAAGGCAAACTGCCTAACTCATTTTATGAAGCCAGTATTACACTTATGCAAAACCATACAAAGACACCTCCAAAGGGAGAAACTATAGCCATCTCCTAATGAACATTGATGCAAAAATCCGCATAAAGTAATGGCAAAGCGAATCCAACAACACATCAAAAAGATCATTCAACCATGACCCAAAGTAGGCTCATCGCAGAATGGCAGGGGTGGTTTCAACATACATAAATCTATCAATGTAATACAGCACAATTAATATGAAACAAGACAAAACCCTTGATCATCTCACATACGTCCGCATGAAAAAGCCTCAACAAGATCCATCCAACACACATTTCAGATTAAAGCTTAAGAAACTAGGAATAGAGGAAAGTACCTTCAAACATTGTAAAAGCTATAGTATGACAAATCTCATAGCAACATCATACATTAGATGGAGAGAAAACTGAAACCATTCCCCTAAAATAAGGAATGAGACAAGGGTGCCCACTATCCCTCACTCCTATTTCAACATAGTACTGGAATACCTAGCCAGAGCAAATTCAGGCCAAGAAAGAAG